TGTCTCACAAATCACCACCCGCTCTCCACCGGGGAGGGAGCTGTAATGGATGCGCGCACGTGAGCCCAGAGCATGGCTGCTGGATCGGCCAGAGCAGGCGCGTATCGGCCGATACCGATACAAAGGAAAAACGTGAATATCGGCCAAAAATATCGGCCGGCCGATGTATCGGTCGACCCCTAGTATCAGGTGACCTCATTATGTCTGAACACATGAGGCACACACCAGGCTGCTTTGTACGGTCATCGACTGCGCTGGCGACGCCACTCAAGTGACCAGTTTGTGTTTCCTCTTTAGGAAAATCCTGCGCAACGAAGGCCCGGCGGCCTTCCTGAAGGGCGCCTACTGTCGCGCCCTGGTCATCGCACCGCTCTTCGGCATCGCGCAGGTGGTCTACTTCCTGGGCGTGGGCGAGTTTATCCTCAGTTTCTTGCCCAAAAGAAGCAACTAAGGAGCGCCTTCATTTCTGCCTTCCCTCCCATGATGCATCACTTCGACTACATGAGAATTCATCTTACTCTGAGAGGTTTATTTGTTTTGTTTTGTTGTTTGTGTCGGGGTCAGTATGTGACTGGTCGTTTTGTTTTTATTTGTTGTGTTGAATGTTAAGAAGGGAGCCTTTGTTTGCCAAGATGCCTGTGGTGGCACACAAGTTTCCAGTTAGCAGGCCCAACACTTAGACGCTTTCTGGAAATGACGCCACAAATATCGGTGTACAATAACAGGATTTTGTTGTGCTTCTGAACACGATTGTCACATTCGCGGAGTCGACGCGCTGCCCTTGGCTGCTGCAGTTCTGCGAGCCTCATGCTGATTTTCTTTTGCGTTTGTTTTCTTCTTCAGTGTCAGCGAATTCCTCGGCAATCTATTTGAAATCACAATCATAAATTAACTGTTAAAAGCACATTCCTCAGTTTCGCAAGAGAAGCTTTCGAAAAACTTTATATCCTGAAAGATGAGAGATCTCTTAACTGGAGGAAAATAAGCCGTATGAGCCAGTTTCAATCCAAGTCCCAGGCAATGTGTTGATGTGATACCAGCACAATCCCTCTGATCTTTCCTGAGAAGCCACTTCCCTTTGTGTACAGTAAGTGGTTGTAATGAACTCGGCCTTTCAGCTCAGAGCAGACTTTGATTGCCTTGGCTTTTTAAGTAGATCAGGTTCCATCTGATATTCAGTGCTGCCGCAATGGGTCCACTGTTTTATTTTTATTTTTTTTTTACCTCCAGGAACACTGTCTGTAGATTCTGCCTCCAAATCAGCCAGTGTGAACATTCTGAGCTGCTACCATCCTATAAGTTTACATTGCTTCAATGTGAGACGACCTCTGTCCCAAAATGGCTGCTGCGCCTCTTTCTTTAGGGTAAAGCTGTTGTAATTTTTAGACACAACTTGGTTAAAGCTGAAGTTTTGCATCTGTACTTAATAGAACGACTCAAGTGATTGGATTGTGGCCCTAAGTGCAAAGTGCAGCAGCCATTTTCCCCAACATGTCATTYTTTGTGTTTTAAACTGTGGTGAGCACAAGTTTTAATAGAAAAACATTATTTTTTCCTCAAACTTGCAGCAGTCAGCCATTATGGAGCAACAAATTACTCCCCCCCACTATACTTTGTGTTTTGTTTACAAAAGAGTACACGCTCAGTTGTGATGCTTTGTCCAAACTGGAACTCAGTGACAGAACCCCAAAGAGCTAACAAAAAAATCCTTCTCTTTCTGAAAATCTGACCATCGTGTCCTCAGTGTGAGGATGACTTTTTACCAAAAGCATATCYCAGCCGGTTAGCTTTGGAGGTTTTGTTTGCCAGGGATAAATTCAGCCTCGCTGTATCTTGTTTATGCATCTCAGCAACACCTAAGGCCTGCCATTGGTTTATCATGTCGGGAGATCAAGGTGACCCTTGCAGGGTATTGTCCAATCACATTCCTTTCCTCGCTCCAGCTGGTCAAGCAGCTCTTCAGTTGTTCTGTGGACTGGTGGTGCAACTTCTTTTTTTTTTCAGTGTGATATCGTTTGTGGGAGGGAGCTTTATTTATCAATGTTCCTATTTTTTTTAGAGGCAATAGAGCCTCATAAATACATTTGTATGTGTTGTTTTTGTATCAAATTGTCCACCTTAACTTTATTGTACATATGCAGGTGAAATGAAATTTGAGATTTTATTGTTTTGTAAATGTTGGCTTATTTGCACACCTACCTCCCCCCACCTTTTCAATTCATATCGTGCTGATTTTATGTTCTGATGATGCAGGAAAACAAATTAAGGAAGTAAAACAATATGCCACGTTGGAACTCTAGTATAGATTTCAGGTCGGAGGTGCCATTTCTCCCACGCTATCAGTTAAATTCAGCTGGTTTCCTTCTGTTCCACGACAGGACCAAATGAAGAATCTTAATGCTGATCATTTTCCAGTGACAGATTTTTTATTTTATTTTATTTTTTTTCCAGCTGATGGGGAAATGTGCGTCGACCAAAGCAGGATAAGCTCGTTAAGAGTTTTGTATCTGGTCGTGATGTTTAAATCGTTTGTTTGAATGGTGCTTTATTTTCCACAAAGTAGCTGCAACACGACTGAGGCTGCACTGCCTGAACCCCCACGGGAGCTAATCTGAGTCGTCTTACTGTAACTGAAAGCCATAGGTCAGTCAGGGAGGGACTGCTCTAACACTGACTGGCACCTTCCAAACATCAGAGGCGCGTGGAAAAAAAAAAAGGGCAAAAGGACCCAAATATTCATGTGAGCTTGTGAGCCTGTAATTTAATTTTTTTGTTTACATTCCACCCTGTTTTTGTGATCACAATGCCTCTTTTACTTATACATTTTTTGTTTTCAGATTGTTTTTTATTTTTAGTTAATCCCTGAATGTGTCGTGCAAAATGGTTTTGCTGTCCTCGGCTGTGACTTTTCACCAGCTTGGTGCATTTGGTTCTGTACGTGCGTTTGGCAGTGTAGTGCTGTAGAAGTCGTTGTGTAGTTGTTAAGAGTGCCGCTTGGATATTTTTTTGTTTTCTCTCTCTTGCTTTGATTGTCGACCCTCTTTTGTTTACTCCCCGCCGTGTGTTTGTGCTTGATTCCCCCCAGCAGTATCCACCGCCGGGCGGGGGTGTTAGGGTCATTTGCAGAAGGAGATTCTAGAACACACCAATTACACGACTTAAGAGTGTGTACAATCAAAAGAAAGCACATGAAAAGGATTGTGGGGTATGAAATAGCACACGTTCCTCTTTGAATATGCCTGGAAATCCCCCAATGTGCTGATTTGAAGAATTAAAGTGATTTATTTCTGCGACACTGTTAATCCAAATGACCTTTTTAATCTTATTTATCTATGTCTGTGTAAAACATAAATAAAAAATAAACATAGGGCTGAGACAAATACCTACACAACGATGTCCACTAACAGTTTAGCCACAAAATGTATATCGCCTACATATGAGAATCAGATATAAGAATGTAACTTAGATATTATGAGATGTATGATTATAATTGTGAAGAGTTTATGACTTAAAGATTTGTGCTTTAAATGTTCACCAAGGAAAAAAAGCAATTCACGAACCAGCTTACTGTTATGCAATAAGTAGAATTCACACACACGGTAGAGAAAAGACACAAACAACACAAACACGTGATCACAGCAACGTCCACCTAAGCTTTTGGAGGTCTTTTCTTAGGGTCTGAGCTCACCTCACAGCCCATGTTCTCTTCCTCCGAGAGGAAAACGTGCAATAAAGCACTTTAAAACCTCGCCCCCCCTCGCTGTAAACCTACAGAGTCTCTCTATTACAGAGGGTGTTTATGAGGATGTGCGGTGAATGACACAGTTCTTTGAAATGAAATGGAAAATATAAATATATATAGATATTGTGTTTCTTGTCACAATTTACTGTTCAATAAACTAACTGTCCTAAAATTGTCTGATGTAGTTGTTTGTACTAAAGGCTTGTGTGCTTATTCTTTCTGCTTTTCAAGGTCCAGCAGCTATTTGACAGAGCACAAAAGGAGTGATGGTGTGTGTGTGTGTGTGTGTGTGCGTGCGTGCGCGCTTGTGTGTGGTGAACACTGAGCAGCAGACCCAGTGTTTTTGAAGAGACCAAGGATGGCGTTAGCGACTCTCCCCCTCAGGGAAACATCTGAGTCTGCAGGGATGAGTCAGTTCTTCTCTGGAGCCACCGGGTGTCACTGTGAGGCCACGGCCCAGGCAGCAGGTCCTCCTCTCTGTGGTGGGATGAGAGGGACTGCCACTACAGGCGTTTGATTGTTTTAAGTGATGTGGCAGGAAATCATGCTCGCTTCACTATTGTGCACCCTCTCCAGCTGTCGTAGAGTTAACAATCGCTCACCAATAATGTTTGTAAGCAAAATATCTTCTGAACCAGTGAACGAATTTAATTTCAAGATGGCCACCACAGTCGACAGGCCGTAGGAAACACAAAAAGGGCTTTAGCCTGGTTTGTTTTACAGGTATCGAGCTAAAATTAGGTGTGATAGTAGATGAGCATCATCCACAAGACATACTTTTAGCTCTATTTATTGCGCAACATTTTAACTTAAAACTTTGTCAATAACACAGTGTCAACTAGCTTTAATTGTTAACAAAATATCTCATGAACTACTGGACAGACTTAAACGAAACCTTTTATTTTATTAAAGTTTATTCATTTCATTTAAAAACAAAATTAATGTTACATACAAAAATACAAATCAAAAATAAAACGAAAGGCAGCAGAAGAAAAAAAAAATCAGAATATCTGCCCCTATTTGTAAAAAAAAAGATAAAATAAACAATACTCACAATAGTCTTTAAATAACAAAAACAAACAAAAAAAAACATGAAATCATGGGGTAAACCAGTACAGCAGATTAGCTTTTGGAGACAACCCCATTCAAGATGGCCGCCACAGCCGACGGGCTATAAGAAACTCAAAAAATGGCAATAGCTCAGTCTGTTTTACAGACGTAGAGCTAAAGTTTGGTGCGTTAGTAGCTGAGCATCCTCCACAACACACACTCTGTATTGCAAAATGTTTTTGCTCAAAACTTTGCCAATAACTTGGTGTCACAACCATCTTTATCTGTTAGCAAAATATATCATGAGCCACTGGATGAGTTTCAATGAAACTTTTAGGAAAACTGATCAACTTTTGGAATCGAGCCTATTTAAGGTGGTTGGCACAGCTAACTGGCCTGAGTAAATATAAGATAGGATTTAAMTGAGTGACTTTTGTTGATTTAGCGAGTAGCTGAAAGTCATCCTCAGTAAATTCTCTGAATACTATAACCAAAGTAATTATTGCTCTGTTGAAACTATTAAAAAAAACATGTTTCACATCAAATGTTTGTGAACTTCTCGTTACATCTCCTCAGATTGTTTATYCTGTCCTGTTCTTTACTCTTTATGGCAAGTTTCCAGAGCACTTTTTAAAAATCTCTCTGCATCATAATTACATCAGAGTACCTTCATGTAACCCTGCACGTGTATACACACACACACACACACACACACACACACACACACACACACACACACACACACACACACACACACCCTGCAGTCTTTCTGCACAGCATCTTTTTTTCTGTCCTGATCTCATTTCTGCCAGACTCAGATTTCCTATTGAATTTTTTGCACCTCTTTGAGAGACTCCTTTCATCAGACCCCATCTACTCCACTGTTTACTCACACCGGAGATCAGACCGAGGTTTCGCTTTTCCACGACACGACTCTGAGGASCAGAAATGAGCAGCAGCCGCCACTGTTCCCGGGGCACGCTTGAATCTTTTTCTTTTTTTTTTTTCTTCCCTTCTTCTCTTTCCACGTGTCATGACTTAAGCTTTACACCGTGAACTATTATTAGCCTTGCAAGAGAAATAGAAGGGGAGAAGGGTGAAGCGAGAGCTGGAGGCAGCAGAGGACCATCAGCAGAAGGGGAGTGGGGTGGGGTAAAGGAGGGGATGGTGTGTATATAGGTCACTAAATCAATGGGAATCAGGTTTTTGAAGAGGGAGAGAAGGGAGGTATTTATAGATACCAGTGGAGACAGATGCATCAGTGACAGGCACAGTGTTGCTGGGAGCAGAGGGGTGGGGAAGGCTGGGAATAAATTAGTCTGCAAGAGAACACCCCCACACCTCAAGAAATGCAATGCAAAAGCACAAGGCAACAACACCAAAATATGATCAAATGAAAAATCACTACGGAGTGCTTTGGCTAAATGAGATTCCCCAGCTTTATTGAGAAAAACCCCGGGCGAATGGTTAGTGCTGCAAAACGTTCAAAGCGTTTGCATCAACGGGGCTGCTTTACTCATATCCTGTTTAATTTCTGACCTCTGATATCAGTGAGCCACATGATTGAACGGAACATTAGACTTGTATTTTGCAGGCCAGTGAGAAAAATAGCTGTGGAAAGCCCAAGAATGGATTACAGGAGATTTTTTCATGGATATCTGCAAATGAGAAGTGGTAAATTGGCTTATTTATTATGCAGTATCTGTTTTAACAAGTGGCAGTGGTATGGATGCAGTGGTTTTAATCATGACTGTCATGGTTTATACCATTTATTCCCTAATATGCAGCACGTCTCTGTCTCTGCCAGCTTCTTGCGGGAAGAAGTTCCATCGCAAATTGGTAATTTGTTCAGAGGACACGAGGAAAAAGTAATTAAAGAAATTGTTTTAAATTGCTTTCTGACTGGCTTTTTCTAGGACTGTGTCAAGGTCAGGGGCAAAATGGGTCCCTCTTCACTTCCAGAGCTGAGCTGTGTGTGTGTGTGAAATGTAAGACATCCAGAATACTGAGCGGTAAAATAATCTACATCTCATTTCTGCAGTTAATTTGAGAAGTATTGGCACAGCAGCCCACCTCACCTCACCTTACATTAAAAGGCAGAGGATGCAGTCAATTACTTTCTGAGGGTTCCTAATCTCTGGCCCGTAACATGGTCAGTAAACTCACACAGGGCAGTTTCTTGCCTCCCAAGACCAAATGAGGTCTGGATAAGGTGGAGGCAACTGATGGGAAAATATGGCCTTTACACGTTATCTGTGCTTATCAACAGCAGAGCTGAATTTTTACAGGGTTTTACTGATTAAACCATTAAAATGTGTCACTCTGACTATAATGTCCTGTTGCTGTAATGACTGATGGCTACCATGGTGTGAAAAGCATTTCTTTTTCTACTTCAATATGCTCTAAAAACCTATTTAAAAGGGGTTTCTTTTATTTAATATTAATAGAGACACTGCTTGTGTTTCAACTGTTTATGTATATTTGGGTTTACACAATAAAGTTTTATCCAATAAATTTTAAATTTTCGACAGAGGGTAAAGCACAAATTTGGTACACCATGTTGGCTTTTACAAAGCATTTTTCAAAAATAAGACTTTTTTGTCGTGGATCAAAAAATGTTAAAGTTTCACAGAAATTGGGGAAAAAAGGTCAAAATAAGGGATGTCAGCGAGCCAAATAACACGTGACTTGACTTTAAATCTAAAAATCTGAGGCAAGCTAAACCACCAAAAACCATAAGGTATTTGGAAAATATCACACTAAAAACTACAACATTAGGCCCCTATCTCTTAGGTTGGACTTATAACAGCAGTGACCTATCCTGGTCCTTGAAGGCCACCATCCTGCATGTTTAACTCATTCACCTTCGTTAACACACCTGTTTCAGTGGTTAAATTACCTCTTCAAGTTCTACTTTTACCTGTAATCGCACATTAACTCAAATCAGGTGTACTGGAGCAGAGAAACCTCTATAACAAATTATTTTATCTAGTCTTGCTGTTTGTTCAGCAGCCCCCCCACACATGCCTTCCTCTGTCCAGGAGAGGTTAGCGGTCTCGCTGCATATGCTGGATCCCAGAAGCTAATGTTGGCTGCCAGCAATTAATACTCCCATCGTGACCACGAACACACCGCTTCCTAAGCAGCTCATGGAACAGCACAGCTGCATTAGTTACCCTCACTTCACATTTCTGGCAAATCACAAATTAGTTGATCCAAACCTCTAGGTGGGGAAAAGGTTTTGCTTCGAGCCTGTGTCCAGAATGAGCTCTCAGAGCTCCAGGAAGAACAAAATGTCATATTTTTGTCCAGTAACTGTGTCAGAGAGAGCCGATTTCTTCACCCCTCTTCGTCTGATCCAGTCGTGTCGCAGAGGCAACAGGTCCAGGAGTGAAACCCAGACACCCCTCTCCCCTGCGATGCTCCACAGATTCACCGACCCAAGTCATTCCCAGGCCAGAGAAAATACACAATCCCTTCAGCGAGTTCTGGGTCTGCCTCTGTGCCTCTTCTGGGTGGGACATGCATGAGAAATTTCAAAAGGGAGGCTAACAGGAGGCATCCCAAACCACCACAATGGACTTTGCGAAGAAGCATCTACTCTGAGCTCCTCCCAGATGAAGGAGCTCATGAACCTGTCACAATATGAAGGAAGCCAATTTCATCCGCTTCCAGGATCTCATGACACGTACTTCTTGAACAAAGGTGAGGGTTGGAACATTGACAGACCAATAAATACTTTCACCACAACAGACCAGAGAAAGTCCCTCATTACTGCAGACATAGTTTGATAGAGGGGTTCATGTCTGTGTACTGGAGCAGAAATGTTTTATTTACAATTAAAAGATGCCAACAAGGGAAGACTTGTCCATTCAGCCTTACATGTCGGAGCCAGAGTCTGACCCAGAGCCAGAGGAGAATGAAGACCACCAGGTTGGTCAGTCCAAACCTTATTTGGCAGTTCTGTTGCAAATTCTCTGATGTAATAGTTCAGAAAATAATAATAAGAACATTAAGTTATCTACGCAGGAGAAACTAAATAAGAAATTTCTGTTCTCCTGAAGACTTCAAGCACACAACAAAATGCATTTAATGGTTAAAAAAGTGGATTTGGCATGATAT